TGGTGGGATTATAGGCATCATCCCCTGCACCCTCCTTAATGTAACTATTAAAGTGATATTTATGAGCATTTTTAATGGCATGAGAAATGGTTATGAAAGAATATGAAATATAAAGACAAAAATAGCTCCATCATGTAAACAAATCATTAGATAAAATAATGGAAGAAAATATACTTAAGTGTTGACAATGGATATTACTAGTTGGTGGGATTACAAGCAATTTCTTTTTTTAAACTTTTTTTTTGGTATTTTCTAAATTTATCAACTGAAGAATGTATTGCTTTAAAAAAAAGTTTTGGCTGGGTGCATTGGCTCATGCCTGTAATCCCAGCACTTTGGGAGGCCGAAGTGGGCGGATCACCTGAGGTCAGGAGTTCAAGACCAGCCTGGCCTACATGGTGAAACCTGGTCTCTGCTAAAAATACAAAGTTAGCCAGGCACGGTGGCACACACCTGTAATCTCAGCTACTCGGGAGGTTGAGGCAAGAGAATCACTTAAACCCAGGAAGCAGAGGTTGCAGTGAGCCGAGATCACACCATTACACTCCAGCCTCGGCAAAAAGAGCAAAACTGCATCTCAAAATAAATAAAATAAAATAAAATAAAATAAAAGTTTTAAGATATAATATACACATCATACATATTAGCCATTTAAAGTATACACTTCAGTGGGTTTTTTTTTTTTTTGCATGTTCACAGAGTTGTGTAACTATCACCACAATTTAATTTTAGAAAACTTTCATCAGCCCCTAAACTTACCTTATTCCCATTAACAGTCACCTCCCGTTCCTGCTCCCCTTCTCAGCCTTAGACAACCACTGATTTACTTTCTATCTCTCCAGATTTGCCTATTCTGGATGTTCCATATATCATAAATGGAATCACAGTATGTGCCCCTTGGTGTCTGGCATCTTTGATAAGGCATAAAATTTTCAAGGTTCATCCATGTTGTAGCATGCACCAGTATTTCATTTCATTCTTTTCTATTGCAAAATAATATTTCATTGAATGGGTATATCACACTTATTAATCTATTCATCAGTTGATGGACATTTAGTGTGTTTCCACTTTTTGGCTATTGTGAATAATACTGCTACGATCATTCTTGTACAAGTTTTTGGTGGATATATGTTTTTAATTCTCTTGGTGTATAACCTAGGAGTAAAACTTCTCAGGTCATATGATAACTCCATTTAGCATTCTGAGGAACTGAAAAAGTTCTCAAAGCTGCTGCACCATTTTACATACCAGTGATGTTTGAGGGTTCCACTTTCTCCACATGCTTGTCAACATTTGTTGTTGTCTTTTTGATTATAGCCATCCTAGTGTGTATGAAGTGGCATCTCACTGTGGTTTTGATTTGCATTTTTCTAATGGCTATGTTGAACATCTTTTCATGTTTTTATTGATCATTTGTATATCTTCCTTGGAGAAATGTCTATTCAGATCCTTTACTCATTCTTTAATAGGGTTATTGGGAGCTATTTGTCTTCCAATTATTGAGTTAACAGTTCTTTATATATTCTGGATACAAGTCTCATATAAGATATATGATTTGCAAATAATTTCTTTCATTCTGTGGGTTGTCTTTTCACTTTCTTGATGGTATCATTTTCAGCAAAGGAGTTTTTAATTTTGATGAAGTCCAATTTATTTTTCCTGTTGTCGCTTGTGTTTTTGGTGTTTTATATAAGAAACCATTGCCTACTCCAAGGTTACAAATATTTATTTTTATGCAAACTTCTAAGAATTTTATAGTTTTAGCTCTTACATTTAGTTCTATGATCTATTTTGAGTTGAATTTTGTTTATTGTAACAGGAAGCATTCTAATTTCATTCTTTTGCCTGTGCATATCCAGTTGTCCCAGCACCAATTGTTGAAAGACTATTCGTCCCCTATTGAATTGTCTTGGCATCCTTGTTAAAAATCAATTGACCATAAATGTAAGGGTTTATTGCTGGACTCTAATTCTATTCCTTTGATCTACATGTCTATCTTCATGCCAGTACTACACTGTGTTCACTACCATAGTTTTACAGTAAGTGTTGAAATCGGGAAATACAAGTCCTCCAGCTTTGTTCTTTATGAGACAGTTTTGACTAGTCTGGGTCCCTTACATTTCCAGGCATTGCTTTTATGCTCAAGGGGGGAAATTTTTTAGAAAAAAAGAAAAAGGAAGGTAGATATTGCTGAAGGAACTGTGAAATTCATTTTGTGTTTTCTGAGTGAAACTTCTGCAATGCAACTTTTCTCTTGGATGAGGAATTTCTCTCTCCTAAATTCTGTCCTGGTCATGGTAGATTTCCTTTTTCACTATTGATGAACACTGTGCAGAGTATTGACTCAGCCAAAGCTTCATCCTGCCTTGAGTCACTTGGCTGGGCTAGGGGTTATTTTCACATAGGGGGTTCCACAGCACCCTAATATTTTTTTTACTCCTAGCTAAGAATGATCATACTCTATTGTTGTGGTCTCTGCAGTGTTTTGATTGCACACCTCATCGGCAAATCACTTTTGAGTATGAGTTTTTGCATATTCATTTTGAGCACACACAAATATAAATATTTCATTCATTTATAAATTATAAATGCTCATGATTATGATATAAACAAATAAACAAAACAGAAGTTTTAGAAGACGAGATAAAATGACTAGAAATAGATGTTTCCCCACACCTCAATGGCTTTTATCTCTCTGGAGATGGGCTTCTTGGATCTTTCCTGTTTACCTCTGTGTGGTCCTAGCACTCAGCCAGCCAAACAGGGCCTGGTATATAGCAGAAGCTCAAAGACATTCAAAATAAAAATTTCAGGCCAGGCGGGGTGTACCTCAGGCCTGTAATCCCAGGACTTTGGGAGGCCAAGGAGGGCGGATCACTTGAGGTCAGGAGTTCGAGACCAGCCTGGCCAACATGGTGAAATCTCATCTCTATTAAAAATACAAAAATTAGCTAGATGTGGTGGCAGCGTCCTGTAATCCCAGCTATGGGGATGAGGAGGTGCTGAGGCACGATTCCCAGGAGGCAGAGGTTGCAGTGAGCCAAGATGGCACCACTGCACTTCAGCCTGGGCGGCAGATTGAGACTCTGTCTCAAAAAAGAAAAATTTCAAATAGGCTACTATTCCTATTAAATACATTGCTTCCGGCTGGGCGTGTTGGCTCACACCTGTAATCCCAGCACTTTGGGAGGCCAAGGCCGGTGAATCACGAGGTCAAGAGATCGAGACCAGCCTTGCCAACATGGTGAAACCCTGTCTCTACTAAAATTACAAAAATTAGCTGGGCGTGTTGGCGTGCGCCTGTAGTCCCAGCTACTCCAGAGGCTGAGACAGGAGAATCGCTTGAACCCGGGAGGCGGAGGTTGTAGTGAGCCGAGATCACGCCACTGTATTCCAGCCTGGTGACAGATCAAGACTGTCTCAAAAAAAAAAAAACCCAAACAAACAAACAAAAAAACACTGCTTCCCTAGGTTTTGCATCTAGCAAATAAAAGTTCTGCCTCTATTTCTTGCTAATTGGCTATGGTTATTTTGTAGAAAGGCTGTGGGCTCTTCATCTCTCTTTGTCTTCTCTTTTACCTTTGACTTGCACCACATCTGACTTATTTATTTTCTAAAATAGCAGTTGTATCATCCTTCATTTATACTCTTCATTTCTTACTGTGTATTCAGGCAGAGTCCTGATACTAAGACCATGAAGAATGGAAAGCAAGGTCTCTGATCAGGATGTAGCACAGTAGGATGTGAACAAAGGGCAAGGAAGCTCTAGGGTGTGAACATCTGGGACGGCTTCAGGGAGCTGGATTTTAAAAGAAGAGTGGGGAGTTGGTCAAACGGAGAAGAGAGGCTGTCCCAGTTGAACTGTGGGAGCAAAGGCAGGCGACCCAGCACATTCTAGGAGAGGGGAAAGTTTGAGTTTGGTGTAGCTGAACACTAGGGGCAAGGGTGGTTGCATCTGTTTTAGGAAGAGCTCTCTGGCAGACCTGTAAAGTATTAGACTTTTTATTTATTTATTATTTAGAGACAGGGTCTCCCTCTGTTCCCTCAGGCTGGAGTGGCACAATCTCAGTTCACTACATGCAATCTCCACCTGGGGGCTCAAGTGATCCTCCCACCTCAGCCTCTCAAGTAGCTGGGACCACAGGTCTGAGCCACCGCGCACGGCTAATTTTTGTATTTTTCGTAGACACGGGGTTTTGCCGTCTACGATACTCCCAGACCGGGGCTAGGAGTATTAGACTTTTGAAGTTAGAAGTAGGGGTAGGCTGTTGGTTGCCTGGAGAGCAGAGCACAATTATAGCTAGAACGTGAAAACCTCTGTGCTTGGAGGCCCAAACGAAGCAGGGAAACTTTGCTTTAGTGCTCTAGCTAGCAGCATTCTTTTTTTAGGATCTCAGAACCTACTTTTTTTTTTTTTTTTTGACGGTCCCTTGGTTGTTTTTCTTTTCTCTTTGTCCCGAAGAGACACTTAAACCTTTATCAGAAAATCACGGTTTATTTCCTGAGAATCGCGGGGACTGGTTGAGGGTACTCTGTTTTGGGGCTCCATTTGAGGCCTGTGGCTCAATGGAAGACATAGAGGCGCTTCACTGCACAGGTTTAATCAAGCAAGGGCTTGATAGAAGGATTCATCCCACCCCCGCCCCGATTAAATCAAACCACACACCACCCCCGCCCGGATTAAATCAAACCACACACACACAAATAGAAGCTCTGGCACATCCTGACAGAATAGCCTCTGCGAAGTCAGGAAGCCCCAAACTACGGCCACTGGCATGTCTACACGGGCCAGGAAGCCCAGGCCCCCGACCCCTTCCTGGATCACGTCCCTGCCCCGCCCAAGGTGGAAGAGGGGCGGGGCCAGCCGGCGCCCTTCGAGTGGGCCTTGCGCCAGGTCAAGCCTGGCCCGGCCCCGCGGCCCAGCGGCTCCGGTGGGCGGGGCCTCCCTCAGGGCAGTGTCAGTAACGGCGCCAGGCCCCGCCCCTCGGGGAGGCAGGGCAGGGCGGGGCGCGAGCAAGCGCGCGGGCTGGGCTGGAGCCGGCCTGGTCGCCAGCCTAGCCCGGCACAGTGAGCCGAGCGCCTGGGCGGTGGCGGCGGCGCGATGGCTCCGGCCGCGGACCGGGAGGGCTACTGGGGCCCCACAACCTCCACGCTGGACTGGTGCGAGGAGAACTACTCCGTGACGTGGTACATCGCCGAGTTCTGTGAGTGTGGCCTGAGGCGGGCAGCGGGGGTAGAGGGCACCGGGCTGAGAAGACGCCGTGTGAGGAAGGCAAAGGGCGAACCTGGCCGCGAGGGGTGGTGCCAGGCCTGGCCCCGGGAGCTGGAATGCGGCGCCCTGGGCCAGCGGGAGGCTGAGAGGAGCGGGCCGGGAGTCCACTGCGTAGAGGGAGGAGTGCCGGGGTCTGGGCGGGAGGAAGGGGGCCTGAGGATTGGGGGGGCAGAATAGCAGTGGGAAGTGGGGAGCCCCTACCGGACCTAAGGGGGAAACCCTGAGGAGCCGGGTTGGGAATGGGAATTCCCGCCCGAGAGCGGAGTGGGGCTAGGCTGGAAGATTGGAGGACCCTGCCCCTTGGAATGAGGGCCCAGGACACCTGCTCTGCTGTTGCCACCACCAGAAGGGGACAGTTCCTAGCTTCGTCTTTCCCCCAATCCGTGAGAATTCTACCGCCTTTCCCTCCCCTTTTCACTAGAATATTAGACCTCCTCGCTCACCTCCAGAAAACAGTTTTACCAGTCTGAGATCTGAACCATCCCACCCCTATCCCCCAGGTTGTCTTAAAAGTACTAGAGGTCATCTGCTCTCTGAGTATGATTATTCAACTGTCATCTTGCACCAAGAGTCGAAGGCATCTTGCACCTAGTCTGTACCTTCTGCTCCCGCCAGGTTGCCAAGAGTACAAAGGACCAAAGTCCCCGATCCATTCTGTCGTATCCAACTATCTAGGAGTTAAGGGTTATCTGAGGACACTACTTCCACCGACTGCACCTTCTGAGGATTTAAGAATTCTTCTTTAGCTGCTGCTCTGTCAGGCACTGCTGGTCAGGTTGGGCTTGTTCTGTGTGCCTGTGTGTGTGTGTGTCTGTTTTCCTGGGCGATTTTTCCTGCGAGGCTAGGAGAAATCTGCCACTTCTTTTTCTATCATTTAATCAGGTTTTGAGATCACAATATTTGATTCTTCTTTTAGGTGCCTGCTTCTGGCAAAGTGCAGAGAACATCCTTTGGCTAACGATTACTGCCTTCTTTTAGTTGGATCTACTTCTCAGGACGTGAAGTGACTCTTCTTAGCTAACCTTCTAATTGTTGAGTCCTGCTCCCAGGCATCTGTGCGTGGCTTTGTAGGAAAGAGGCAAGCATATCATAACAAATGGTCTCACTTTATTCTGTTCTGGTAATTGGCTAAGTTTCCAAAAAAAAAAAAAAGAACACTTTTTGCAGTTTTCAGGACTTTAGTACTATTCTCTTATGACCATGATTTAGGCTGAGAGTCACTTTTCTTGAACTATTAGTTTAAATTAATTATTTTTACATAATCATGGAGAAATATGGGCAAAGGGATCATTTGTAATGCAATTACTTGGGAACCACATGTTGGCAAAGGAAACACTTTACCAGTTAGTTTGTTGTTAGATCACTTTGGCAAGCCCATACCTGGTCCAGAGAACAATGACCATGAGGGAAGAGACGTAAAATCATGCACTCTGTGCTGGAAATGTGTAACATGGAAAAGAGGAATTCAAGAGTCTTCAAATATTGGATGGGCTATCATATAGAATAATTTTTTTTTATTTATTTAGAATCTGCAATTAGGGCCTATGAGCAGAAACTAACTGTAATGGGGAAAAGTTGACTTCAATGTAAGGAAAAACCTTCTAACCAATGATATGGGAAAGGTTGGCTTGGGGGACAGAGGACTTTCTGTCACTGAAAGTGTTAAATCAGACATTGTTCAATGAACTCGGGAATATTTTTGGAGGAAAAATTTATTTAGTTGAGAAAAGGGGCTGGCCTTAGTTGGTCTTTAGATCCTTTGCAGCTCTATGGGTCTATGCAGGTAATAATGACTCTTAGTTTAGAACCAAGGTTTTGGATTCAAATCAAAAGAAAACACTGGGCTGGGCATCGTGGCCCATGCCTGTAATCCCAGCATTTTGGGAGGCCAAGGCAGGAGTATTGCTTGAAGCCAGGAGTTTGAGTCCAGCCTGGCAACATAATGAGACCCTGTCTCCATAAAAAAATAAAACAATTAGATATGCATGGTGGGTTGTGCCTGTAGTCCTAGCTACTTAGGAGACTGAAGTGGGAAGATCACTTGAGCCCAGGAGTTCAGGGTTGCTGTGAGCTGTAATTGTGCCACTGCACTCCAGCCTGGGCAAGAGTTAGACCCTATTTCTACAAAAAAAATAAAATAAAAAATGCAAAGAGAGAAAACTGGCAGTTAAGTCATGTGGACTATGAGAGAGCAAGATACTGTGTTCTGGCAGATAGCTCTGAGAAATGGGAAATGACATTTGTTCTCAATGTGCTCAGAAGAGGAAACTCTGAGCAGACTGCAGGGAGGGTTTTGACATAGGAATCAGAGGGGTTGCAAGAAGAGGATGAGTGAATGTTGGCAGCCCTTTGCGCATGCACCTTGGGAGAAAATCATCTGGAGGAAGTTGAGGTCAAGTCATCTTACCATAGCAAGTCATGAGTATCTATAATAATATATCTTGGACTAAGAGAATTTGATCTTTGAAAAATATGCTGATTAATAATAATATGTTTAAAATATGTGTTTAAAGCAAATGCAATTTTAACATCATGATAGTATTTACATTAATGATAGTATTGATGGTAATATTAAAGGTAATGTAATAATAGCTATTATCTAAGTGGTCACTATGTACTACACTTTGCTAAGCACTTCATATATCTTATCTCTTTTGATCTTTGCAGTAATTTCAAAAAGAAGGTATTATTATCCCCATTTCAAAGATAAGGACATTGAAGCTCTAAGAAACAATTTACCTAAGATTACAATAAGTGATGTAGAGATAGTATTCACATTGAGGTCTGACTCTAAAGCTACTATCCATGTTACCTTTTCATCATTACTTTTATCACACATTCATTGTTTTGCCCCTATATTCAATATTGAATTAGAAAAGAAAGGAAGACAGATATGAAATACTATGCTCTCACAAAGGACAAATTGAACAACTATTCAGTTTACTCAACCATCTTTCAACTGTCTTTCAGCGTTAGAATATATGTATTTTAGGGAATAATGAAGAGTTTGGGGAATTGCATATTCAGATATGGCAGTGGTTCTCAGTCACTTTCAGCACCTGAAAACTGTCTTCCGAGCATCAGCCAAGATCAGTTTAAATTCCTTTTGTTTGAACATATTGTAAGGACCAGGGGAAAAGGTCTCTCATTGTGAAATCATAAGCCACTTGATGTGCCAGAAGTTAGAGGTACAGGCAGTCCTTGCTTTGCATAATAGTGTGGGACCATACAAATGACTGTGCAAGTTAAAACCAGGTAACACTATGGTAATAATCAATGGGAAAAGTTATGATTGTTCTGTGACCTTTAAAACTTTTTGTCAAACATTGTAAACTCTCTTACTGTTGGTTATGAATATATAGGGAAATGAAAAAAGTAAGCATGTTTATTTAGTACACTTTGAAACATTAAAAACATTGAGAAATAAACTTTTTTCTTTATAAAGATCACTTATCAAGAGTAATTTAAACAGTGCTTGCCTTTTTTGTCACATAACTCATAATATGGAATGAGTTTTTTTTTTTTTTGAGGTAGAGTCTCGCTCTGTTGCCGAGGCTGGAATGCAGTGTCGCTATCTCGGCTCACTGCAACCTCCACCTCCTGGGTTCAAGCAGTTCTCCTGCCTCAGCTTTACAAGTAGCTGGGATTACAGGTGCTTGCCACCACACCTGGCTAATTTTTGTATTTTTAGTGGAGACAGGGTTTCACCATGTTGGCCAGGCTGGTCTCGAGCTCCTGACCTCAAGTGATCCACCTGCTTCAGCCTCCCAAAGTGCTGGGATTACAGGCATGAACCTCCATGCCCAATTGTCTTTTTTCTTTTAAATTAAAAAATTTTTTTTTTTAGCCAGCTACAGCTACACTAATGAGGGCCATCAGGTTTTGGGGTTTTTCTTGAGACAAGGTCTACCTCTGTTGCTTAGGCTGGAGTGCAGAGGCACAATCAGAGCTCACTGCAGCCTCCACCTCCCAGGCTCAAGCGATCCTGCCACCCCAGCACCCCATAGCTGGGACTACAGGTGTGTGCCACCATGCCCAGCTAATTTTTTTTTTTTTCTGGATTTTTAGTAGAGACAGGATTTTGCCATGTTGCACAAGCTGGTCTCAAACTCCTGAGCTCAAGCAGTCCTCCCATTTCAGCCTCCCAATGTGTTGGGATTATAGGCATGAGCCACCATGCCCAGCCAGGATGAGTACTATCCCTTCATGAATTCTTTTCTAATTTGTATCAGCTTCCAAAATTTATCCTTTGCACTTTTAATATTGTGAAATCTCTCCGAGAGTTCCTTTAATACAAAGTTGTTTTTTGTTTTTGTTTTTGTTTTTGAGACGGAGTCTCGCTCGGTAGCCCAGGCTGGAGTGCAGTGGTACAATCTTGCCTCACTGCAAGCTCCGCCTCCCGGGTTCAGGCCATTCTGCTGCCTCAGCCTCCTGAGTACCTGTGACTACAGGCGCATGCCACCATGCCCGGCTAATTTTTTTTTGTATTTTTAGTAGAGACAGGGTTTCACTGTGCTAGCCAGGGGTCTCGATCTCCTGACCTCATGATCCACCTGCCTCAGCCTCCCAAAGTGCTGGGATTCCAGGCGTGAGCCACCGCACCCGGCCACAAAGTTTTTTTTTGTTAGCATCATTTCTCCTGGGACATCTTTATCCTTTTCACCACAACTACTTTATTCATTTATGTTGATAAGTTTGCCTTCGCTTTCTCTGAATTCCTCAGGCTGCTTTTTTCTTAAATTTTTATTTTTATTTTTATTTTGAGACGAAGTCTCGCTCTGTCACCCAGGCTGGAGTGCAATGGTGCAGTCTTGGCTCACTGCAACCTCCACCCGCTGGGTTCAAGCAATTCTCTTGCCTCAGCCACCCACATAGCTGGGATTACAGGAGTGCGCCACCATGCGCAGCTAATTTTTGTATTTTTAGTAGAGA